TTCAGCGCCCGCCACAGTGGCAGCAACACAATGGAGGTGGAAGCCAAATGGTAGGACATGTTGAAACGCGTAAGTGGAGAGACAGGAGAAGCCGTCCGCTCGTATCACGCTCTGGTCGTATCACTTTAAGAGTAATTTTCTCATTATAGAAGGGGCAAAATCGAGCCGGACTTGTCGCAGTGGACTACTAAGGGGGCCCTATAGTTGATTATATGGAGATCCGAACAACCTCAATTTAGATGGGACGCTGCCTTTAAGTCTCGCACCAAAAACTTTGCAAAACTCGTTCCCAAATGAGATTATTTCAGAAGATTGCCATTTTTTCTATGTACATTATTTGATTGTAACATATTGGCATCAAAACAATTTTAGACCGCAAGAATCATTTTCTATATCTTAGATGAGGTCTGATTTATTGTTCGATGAGCCAAAGACATGTGCAGCACACACAATCTTACGAAAATCTCACACATTTACATTTTATAAGACATCTGTACATGCTGCTGCTGCGATTTTCTCTGTTAGAAATAGAGACAACAAAGATGTTCATCTTTTTCGCAAGTGCTGAGCTGTTCTTAAACTTACAGTTGTAGTCTACAAGCTTCGAAATGCAATCGCATAATTGCATCTATTATAAGTGTTAGTTCATGAGAAATATGGAATCTAATTTATATCCAGTCTTTTCGTTCCAAACTGCAAAAAATTCGATATTTTTTGTAAATCAGCTGCTGACCTTCGGGCAATATCTTAAACCTGCTCAATCGAACGAATTACCAAAACTTATCCAGGTTTAGGGAAAATATGAAATATCTGAGGTCTGTGGAGGCGTTCTGTCACCACGAATTCACCTCATATGGGAAGCATTTTTGGTCGAAGTAGCTTTTCCACTATACACCTCTATCAGTTTGAAGAGCATTGAATGGTGATCTCAAATCTTTCACCGCTATCTATAGTCACCTCTGGACAGTTAAGTCATGAAGAATTTTTGAGCTGAAAAATTGAACGTGCAATTAAAGCAAAGTCCAGAAATGCTCAAATTTTTTCAGTGTTGATTATCAAAGCACTGAATTCAAATTTCAGTACTTTTCTCCAGTACATTTATATTCTAATGACTCTAAAGCCTTGAGAATTCTGTGAATTGGTTTACCTAGATTCCGTGTTTGTTTTCTCCCCAAAAACATAATCCGGCGTCCATGAGCGCTTTTCAAATAAGTGGACAGATTTGGAATCAATTTAATGCTCTTCAGAGTAAGGGCTCTTACAAAAAGGCCACTTCAACTACAAGATTTCCCTCTCGGGTGGAAAGAGCTTGCCAAATTATCCAAACACAAAAAAAAAATTTTATTTCGCTAGACATTGGGCAACTTAGCTACCGATCGTGAAAATATCAAAGCGTTTCATCTTCATCGTCTTTTATCACCTCAATAGGACAGCGGTAATTGGCAAGTACTTTCCGTGAATAGACTGTTTTCTCTCTTCAGTCCATTCAGTTCATCACAGCTTTTCATCGAATCTGAGACTATTCTTTTGCAAATCTCGGCGCAAAACTTATGTTTCAGTCTAGTGAATGTAGAACAGCGAATTCACTCATATCAGACGATGAAGGTTGAAAAGGCTAGATAGAAAAAGCACCATTTAAAGAGGATGTGTAAATCTCTCCGGGTTTTGTCGGTTTTTCGTTAGTCTTTTTAAATTATGCTTAAGTCTGCTATTCGCCGAAGCGATGTTCATGTATGCGGCCTGCGATTTTTGCGTGGTGACGCTGAAAATAATTTACTCCTTGGAGCTGTCGGAACTGCCAGTTGCCTACGTATTCGATCAAATATATAGCTATACCTACGCGATGATCATGCCTTTGCAACTATGCTGTCTTATGGAAAGACTTGCAGCGACAATATTTATCAAGTCCTATGAGGGCAACCGGAAATGGCACTTGCTAATCTTGTCGCAACCATTCTGTATTGCATTCATATTCGCAAACAACTTTTCCAAAGAAGGTAATTTTTCTCTGTTATAAGTTCAAAAAAAAAACTGCCGTAGCTAATGTTAAGTTAATGCTCCATTAGCTAATGCTAATGCTTATGTTTTTAGTTTTTTAGAGCAATTCTCCTCTGACAGAAGCCTAAAATTAGCAAAAATTCCTACCGTAATACTACAGCAACTAAAAGGAATCGGTGATTTGCTCTATACTGTGTTTTTAAGTGGGAGCTAGCCCTACCGTATGGCACCGCAAAGACCCGCGAAAGCTTTCCAAATGAGGAATTTATTAAAGATCGAACGTTCAATACGTTGAGGAAACCTTGTATGGTGAAGCATAAATATTTCACATCATTTTATTTTCATCGCCGAGTTAAGCACCTAAACCCCTAGCAATGCAATATTATGGAACCATTCTCTCTACATACTAAGATACTATAGTGCTACGTTTTTTGAGAGACTTCCAGCGCAATAGAGCTGTTGGAGATTAGTGACAACTAGCTGGCATACCCGGCTCCGCCCGGTCCAGCGAGAATTATGATGAAGGTTCCATCCTTATCCGTGCAGAATCTTTCGCTGTGCCACTTCTCCATGCAGATTACCTATCCCCGTTTTCTCTTTGAAATCACCATGCTCACCTA